ATTCGGGTAATTTGAGCTTATTTTTCCACACATTTGACACTGTCGTAGCATATTGAAAATTCGCAGATTCAAAAGTTACGTTAAACAAAAACAAAAACTACTGAAAAACACTGAAAGGTTCACTTCGGACTTGATTCCGACTTCAAACACACCGTAAGCTAAACATAGTACGCTATAACGGACCAAGGGCCGTCGCGAGGGGTGGTGGGCCGGACGGCTCATTTCATTCTGGAAGGCTAGCAGCGACGTTGCCAATAGTTCTAGACGTTTCAGCACATTAAACAGTAAACATGTCCTTTAATAGTAACGCATATATCCTCTGGTTAATAACATATTATTACGCATGCTTCTTTAAAAATAAACTATTAATTTAATTAAGAAATTGAGATTTATTGATATCCGGTGAAGTCACCTTTTCTGCAAATTAAACTAAGTAGATTGCGCAAATTTGAGATGTGGCAATGTCGCCTTCTCTATCTCAGATGGTTTTTACAGTACGTAGTCAACCTCCCATTGTTTGATCGGGTTAAAATGCACAATGTGATATCTCTTCTTACTAAATCTATGTTCTGAAGTAACGTCAATATTTAGATGAAAATTGGTGTCTGGGAGTTTTTTGACATGAGAAATTTGATTTCGGTGTCAATATGACTCCTACTAGTAGAGGGCACCACCTACATATGTTTTAACTGTTTTGAAGCGTAATAACTTTTTGTTCGTACCTGTATAACACCATGAGCGAAAAAATATACATCTCTGTGACTTTTTACGTAAAAAATATCTCTTTGTAAAAATCGCTACGAGCAACCGTTCTTAAGATATTTAGAATGGAAATAGACAATACATGTCATTATTGAACAATAAACACGTTGAGTAGATAGTTATTTTACTGAAATAATAAATTTGGGAAATTTTTATTTTTTTAAATTAATCATAAATTTTTCTGCAAAAAATGATGATAAAACAGTTTCTGTAGAACTTTTGGCACAAAAACTTTTCAAATTTATGATTTTAGACTAATAACTATTTAGTCAACATGTTTAATTTATGTCAATGATGACAGGTATTGATAATTTCGATTCCAAATATCTCGAAAACCATAACTCGTAGCGATTTTTACCAAGAGACCTTCTTCACGTAAAAAACGTCGTAAATGTATATTTTTTTACTCAGTAGTTTTATACAAGTACGGACGAAAAGTGATTACTCTTCAAACCAGTTAAAAATATGTAGGTGGCGCCCTCTACTAGTAGGAGTCATATTGACATCAAAATCAAATTTCTCATATCAATAAACTTCCAGACACCAATTTTCATCCAAATATTGACGTTACTTCAGAAAGTATTTGGAAAAAATTGAATTGAAATAAAAATGAAACTTCTACACCCTGTATCTCCGAAACTAAGCATTTTAGGATATACATTTATACGAACTTTTTTACTTATTTTTATCTGCAGAATATGCTGCCGAAGTTTCCGGAATACAGTTCGGACCACCATGTATATAAAGAATATGTTTGCCTAAAATTTCTAGTATTATTAAAAAAATAGGGTCCGATATTTAATTTTTTTACTAACATTTATTTTATATATGTTAATGTTAAATGAACCCTCAGTATAATTTATTATGATCTATCCATATTATAGGCCTCTGTTAGTACCTGTAAATACAGTATAGGTCTTTTCCAAGTTTTGTAATATTAATTTTTTTTATTTTTAACAATGGGATAGAATCATTCAGGTATTATACAATTGGACATTGAGTAACTTATCATTTGGATGCAATTAAGTTTGTGACTTTTATTATATTACCTGAATGGTCTCATTGTAAATCCATTTATATAAATGCTGTTAAAACGATAGTATTTTGTTTATAGTTTAACTTCTATCTATTATAATATACAGGGTGTTCCAATATTCCGTGGACATAGAACTACTACGTATTTTTGGACTCTAAATAATTTCATTGAACACAATTTATTATTCACACAGTGCTTCGTTTGTCCGCTAGAGAGCAGTAAACTTTAAAAAAATAAACACATTTTTTCAGATATTTTAAGAACCGTTATTCCGATTTACATGAGATTTTGGGTATCTATGTTTTGCTAAGTGCTTTAACATTTACTTTTCACAAAAATCAAGAAAAAGTACGGGAAGGGTGAAAACTAAAACTAATTTTAGTAAAAATATTTTTCAAATCCATTGACGACAGATTTTATTTTCGTAAAACGATCCCTCTAGTAAGTATTTATTACATTTTTTGTTCCTTGCAAAAAAACGTTACATCGCATGGTTTTTGGGAAAACATTTTTTAGAGAATTTATTTTTTCAAAGCAGACCTACAAAATATACAGGGAGTTCCAATATACTGTGAACATAGAACATTACGTATTTTTTAAATCAAAATAAGTTAATTACATATAATTTACCTTCATACAAAAGTGCTTTGTTTGCAGAGCTGCAAGCTCACAGAAAACTTAAGTCTGTAAAATTATTTTAATGCCTTATTTTTCGAAAGCTAACTTAAGAATTCAAAATGACTTGTGAATTAAATCTTTATTCCGAAATAGAAAAATATTTAAGTCTTTTTAGAGAAGACTTAAGTAAGTCATTAAAAATATTCCATGGGTATATTGATAAAGTAGGTCTAAATTTTAAGAAAATGCATTTTCTACGAAAACTTGAAGAGATAGGTAGAAAATGGTATAATACAATTTGATAGACAATTAAATTGTGCATCTGATTCTCATAAAATATACAGGGTGTTCCATTTAAATTTAAAAAGTTATTGCTGTTTAAAGTTAGTAATTATTTAAAATAAATTTTTAGACACTCTGTATAAGGTAGTATAATTTTTAATATTGCGACACAAAATTTAGTATATAGATAGATATACTTCAGTACAATATAAATACGCCTAGAGAAATGAAGCATTAAAATTATTACTGTATCTTCACAAAAACCTAAATATTCCAAAAACGGTAAGATTAAAATGCGGTAAATCTTAATCAAATTTACCTTTATTTTAATCGTAGAAACTAAAAATGTAATAATATACAGGGTGTTCCATTTAAAAAAAATGCAACTTTGATATTTTTCATTTATTTGGGACGCTCTGTATCTTGTAAAAATATTTTATTGTAGTTCTACTTAACCCAAAACTTACAATTTGCAAAAATCTAATCGTTTAGCTACAATACTCCATGTCGTATGTAGTGAACAACCCTGTATATTATAATAAATAAAAGTGACTATAAATACAATACTATGGTTTTACAACGTTTTTAAAAGGATTTACAATAGGACCATTCAGGTTATATAAAAATAAAAGTCATACAGTCACCTTAATTGCGTCTAAATGATTAGTTACTCAATAACCAATTGGACCTAATGATTGCTCCTTGTTAAAAAATACAAAATATTAATATTTAATACATATTTACAACACGTAGAAAATACCTAATAAATTAATTTTTGCTAGGTAAAGGAACGTCTCAAACCGTACATGAAGGATCCCTATGCCCTTGACCTTCTAGATAAATTGCTAGTGTTGGACCCCTTGAAACGAGCTGATTCCGATACAGCTTTGAACCACGACTTTTTCTGGACGGACCCTATGCCCTGCGAGCTGGGCAAAATGTTAGCCAACCACACGCAGAGCATGTTCGAGTTTCTGGCACCGCCAAGAAGGGCCACTCAAATCAGCAGGCATCATTCCATGCCGAGGCCCACCACTTCCGCCGTACAGGATAGCGGATACCAGGATAGGGTTTTTTAGTAGGTTTAGGAATTTTTATATAATGTTTATAAGAATATTTATTTAATTGAAATATATTTGGACAAATTATAGATCTTGCTTAAATTAACTGTTAAAATTTAAATGTAAAGTCCTAACTAAGGTTTTATTTTGGATTATATTTTACAGGGTGATTTGAAAATACCACAAATAAATGTGTTCATTGTATTTTTTGCAATTTTTTTTATCATAATGAAAGTATTTTTTACATACAAATGCAGTAGAGTCTACTTATAAAGAATTTAATATGTGAACTATTTTATTTTTCGAAAGTTGGAATCACAATTTTTTTTAAATTACATTTTTTCAGCTTATAAATAAATTGTTTTTCTATTATTAGTTGTTATTGTAAGAATAAAGAATATTTTGTTTAAAGCAGTATAAATTTCTTATATGCCCTCTTTGTGCAACTAAAATTTAATATAGATATTATTTATTTGAATAATTGCATATTGAAATAAAACAATATACAATTAGGAAACAATACAATTGGGAAATACAGTTTAAACAAAATTAATAAATATTAAATTTTCTTTTATCACGTTTGTATTTTTTATTAAAAATTCTATAAACTATTCAACTCAAACATCTTATCAAATACCTTTTATGAACTGATTAAGCCTTATCTGGTTCAATTAAAATTTGATTTTATGTCCTATAAATGTTTAATATTAACATGTTAGCTGATATCCCTTTTAATATTACCATGAAATCAAATCTTGTATTTTCATAATTTTCTAAGACTTGGCTTAACAAAAGAATTAAAGTACACAGACAAACTTGTAGGTATATGATAATATCTTAAAAATAACATAATGTAAGTTTAACTAAATTTATTTGTTATAATTCACAAATTTCTTAATGATTCACATAAAATGAAAAAATACCTTATACAATAAATGAAAAGCATTGATGTTTATCTGTTTGCCAGCTCATTAGATAACCAATCTAAACCTTCGTATAATCCAGTTCCTTGTGTGGCACAAGTAGCCTGAATAAACCATTTGCGGTTTTTCAATGTATTTAATTTTAATTTATCGGCTATTTCTGCAGTGGTCATAGAGTTTGGCAAATCCTGTTTGTTTGCAAACACAAGTAGAACGGAATTCTTTAACTCTTCTTCTTCAAGCATGCTGCTGAGTTCTTGTTCAGCCTCGCCAATACGATCTTCTCGATCATTGGAATCCACAACGAAAATTATACCATCCGTATTAGAAAAGTAATGTCTCCATAGTTTTCGGATTCTGGTTTGGCCACCCACATCCCAAACTGTAAAGGATATATTTTTATATTCTACCGTTTCTACATTAAATCCTATCGTCGGGATTGTTGTCACAATTTCTCCAAGCTTTAATTTATATAGTATGGTAGTTTTTCCAGCTGCATCCAGACCTACCATTAATATTCTCATGGGTTTTTTACTGAACAACCGTGTAAATACGGAAGATATGGTCAAACCCATTGTATTGTGAGTTAATACTTTTATTTTTCACCGTAACAAAGAGTAAATTCGTAACTGAGCTAACAAAACTTCATCTCACTTTGTTAATAGAACCACGTCATAACAATACAGTTTATGTTCAAGAAATATTTCACAAAATTATCTAAAAACGAAAATGTGGCGTGTCAAAACTAAACGTCACTTACCGCTGTTTTTGTTGTTCTGCAAATGTACCACAGAATAAAAGCACCGGCTTTTGTAGAATCATATATTTATAATATATGATGAATGTGGGTGGCACTTGTGGCGTGGCATCATCATTTACTGATGATGGTGGTTTCTAACTTTCAAATATGAAAAGAAGAATTTTCGAGATTTCGAGGTTATGTAAAGAGAGGTATTTTTTAAAAAATAGTAAATAAGATTAATATCATTTTATAATTGTGTATACTTTAAATATAACAGATATAATATGGAAAACAGTGAAGAACCCGCTTCCAAAAAGCAAAAAGTAACCGAGACTGATACTGTATCGGTTATAAAACCGAGACTCTGTCCCTATTTGGACACTATAAACAGGCAGTATTTAGATTTTGATTTTGAAAAATTATGTTCCATATCTTTAACACGCATTAACGTTTATTGCTGCTTAGTTTGTGGGAAATATTTTCAAGGAAGAGGAACCAATACTCACGCTTATACCCATTCGGTTGCTGAAAGCCACCACGTCTATCTAAATTTACACACTTTGAAGTTTTATTGTTTACCTGATAATTATGAAATAATAGGTTGGTTACTGAATATTCTTGTTCAATATAAATAATAGAGCCTTTACTGTTTTAAAGATTCATCGTTGGACGATATTAAATATGTGTTGAATCCAACTTTCTCTGAAAGTCACATAAAAGAACTAGATAGTAGTACAAAATTATCAAGGGCTATTGATGGATCATTATACATGCCAGGAATAGTAGGACTTAATAATATTAAGGCTAATGATTATTGCAATGTTGTTTTACAGGTATGCTTCATCCAGTATTATATTTTAATATTGTTAGCACTAATTTATTTTAGGCTTTATCCCATGTAACACCTCTAAGAAATTACTTTTTAAGAGAAGAGAACTATAATAAAGTTAAAAGGCCACCAGGAGATTCGGCTTATTTACTAGTTCAAAGATATGGTGAATTAATGAGAAAGTTGTGGAATCCGCGAAATTTTAAAGCACACGTCTCTCCACATGAAATGTTACAAGCCGTTGTATTATGGAGTAAAAAAACATTTCAATTCACTCAACAAGGCAACCTAACAATATTTTATATCTTTGAAATAATTTTAAAAGTATTTACTTTTTAGGTGACCCTATTGATTTTTTATCATGGTTCCTCAATGCGCTCCATAAAGCATTAAATGGAACAAAAAAACGCGACAGCTCGATAATTTATAAATCTTTTTTGGGAAACATGAAAATATATACTAGAAAGATTCCTCCTACTGAACTAGAAGAAAGGCAAAAGAAATCATTGCTGTTGACTACGGAATATCAAGAAGTTGTTACAGATTCGCCGTTTCTGTATTTGACTTGTGATCTGCCACCCCCACCTTTGTTTATTGATGAATTTAAGGAAAATATTATTCCTCAAGTAAGGTTTTCATATTGAAGTTCCCTTGTAATAGTGTGAAATAATTTATAAGATTAATGCTTTTTTTGCAGGTAAATCTGTATCAGTTATTGGCAAAATTTAATGGTCAAACTGAAAAGGAATACAAAACATACAAGGAAAATTTCTTGAAAAGATTTGAAATTTCTAGGTTGCCCCCTTATTTAATATTGTACATTAAACGGTTTACCAAGAATACTTTTTTTGTTGAGAAGAATCCCACTATAGTAAATTTTCCAGTCAAGTGAGTATAGTTTAACTACATGAGAAATTTCAAAAATAATATATTTAGCAATCCTTATTCTGGAAACACTTCTTCGTATGTGTATGGTTTGCTATTTGAAATTTTTATTCCAAAATATGGAAACAATTGTAAAAAGTATTTTATGAATAGTGTCTTCTTCAACAATTTCTTTTTAAATCAAACAAATCAATGGTATTTTTTTTACTAATACGAGCCCTAACAACTATATGTTGGGACAAGGTCTTTTTTGCAATAAAAAATAGTAATTTGTTAAAACGACTCAATTTATTTTGTTTATTGTTCTAAATTCAAACATTACACTATGATCTAGACAATTTTACTACATTTTTATAAATTTGCAAACAAATCACTTTTGATAATAGCTTATTTTGCCAAAATCAAGCCAAATTTGCTGACAACTATATATTGGGACAGCACAACAAGAAACTTGTTTAATACGGAGTTACATCATCTTTCGCCTTAACAACTGCCTGAACTCTTAATGGCATTGTATTTACCAAAGATTGGCACATTTGAGGAGAAAAATTGTCCCAAATTTCCTGCAGTTTTGCCCGCAAATCAAACATTGTTCGTTGAGGGTGGTTTCTTAAATATTGCTTCATTTTATGCCACACATTTTCTATAACATTGAGGTCCGGACTACTTGCAGTATGGGATAGAACTTTTATATTATTATTACCGAACCAATTTTTAGTTGATTTTGCTGAATCACCTAAAAATCTGTTTCTAACAAGATCCATCTTGTTGGAAAATATAGTCTTCGTTTGGAAACAATTCTTGAGCACTAGGCAAAAGTGAGGTCTCAAGTATATGTTGATATCTTTGGGCGTTAATAGTGCCATCTATAAAATTTAATTTGCCCAAACCTCTTGCTGACATGCAACCCCAAACCATAATCCCCTTAGGAAATTTAACAACCCTCTTTAAGCAATCTCTATGAAAGACTTCTGCTTTATTTCGTATTATTCGTTTTCGATGATCTCCAACGCAAACATCAAATTTAGACTCATCTCTAAATATGACCTTATTCCAATCATTTTGTGTCCACGGTAATTTAGATTTTGCCCAATTGTAGCGATTCTTCTTTTGAATTTCTGTCAGTAGCGGTTTTTCTTTGGCCTAAATAAGAATTTGTATCAATAATCTTCAGGTAATTGATTATCCACACAAAATAAAGTTTACCTTGTAAAACCTCAGACCGCATTTGTTGATATATTTTCGGCAACATTCTCTTGATATATTTAAACCAGTTACAGTATTCCATTTAACTGTTACTTCGCGAAGAGTACTTCTTCTCGCAGACTTGCAAATTTTTACTAAATTTCGTAAATCTCTTTGAGATACAACTTTTAGCCTTCCCGAACTTTTACCTCTAACGTCTACATTGGCAGATTCGCCGTATTTTTTTATTATATTAAAGACCGTGGTTTTTGGAATACTTAAATCATCAGAAATTTTTCGAATTGTTTTTCCCGTACTGTATTGACGAATGATAATTTCGCGTAGTTTTTGATTTGTAGCTTTTCCACGGACCATTACTTTGAATTAAATAATTAACAAAATTGACAATTAAAAAAATTAAAATTACTTACAGTAAATCTCACTACTCAAAGTATCGAGTCCAAATCGAGTCACTTACAAGCTGTCAATGCTGAAGTAAACAGTTTGCGACATTTGTGACGTTTATAGCAAAGCCGTCTATGATGATATTAATTATTTAAAAATACTTGTCCCAACATTTAGTTGTCATCAAATTTGTCCTTTTATGAACAAAATCCGCTACTGTAAATATGGATTGATTTACAAATTCATAAAAATATTGTCAAGTTGTTTAGGATATATGGCTATGTTTATATTTAAAAAATTAAACATATATTTTTCAGTCATTTTGAAAAAACAGGGCAATAATTCCAAAATATTACCTTGTCCCAACATATAGTTGTTAGGGCTCGTAGTGTGTTATCCAATAGAAGTGACACATACAGGGTGGCGCTCTTTCAAACTATATTAGGGTTTCCCTTTGGGTTTCCTATACCTGTAGCTGAGATTTTGAATAAGAAACTGTCACAATAACAATAACACTGTCACTAGAAACTTGCCATGACGACACCAGCCCTCTTGGTTGCCATTTTATTGAAAAATTTTAATTCAAAATCTGAGCTAGATAGGTACAGAAAACCCTAATATAGTTTGAAAGAGCCTTTAAATCTGCTTCAACTTATTTTAAAAAATATAGAGTATTGCATTTTAAATAACGAAGATTTTATGTAAAATAAATATTTAAAATAGACTAGCAATTTTTGATACCCCTATACAGGGTTGTTTACCACATACGACTCGGAGTATTGTAGCTAAAAGATTAGATTTTTACAAATTGTAAGTTTTTGGTTCCTTGAAGGACTATTAGAGCTACAATTTAAAAATATTTTACAACATACAGAGAGTCCCAAATAAATAAAAAATATAAAAGTTGTATTTTTTTAATGGAACACCCTGTATATTATTGCATTTTTAGTTTCTAAGTTTAAAATAAAGGTAAATGTGATTAAGGTTTATTACACTTAAATCTTACCGTTTTTGAAATATTTTCAATTTTGTGAAATTGCAGTAAAAATTTTAAGGCTTCATTTCTCCAACGGTATCAAAGTTTTTAATACTAAATATTTACTGAAGTTTATTTATTGATCAGTTATTGTGCTGCAATAATAAAAATAATACTACCTCATACAGAGTGTCTAAAAATTTATATTAAATAATTTCTAGCTTTAAACGACAATAACTTGTTTAATTTAAATGGAACACCCTGTATATTTTAGGAGATTCAGGTGCACAGTTTAATTGTCTATCAAATTGTGTTTCAAGTTTCCTTTCAAATTTCCTTTAAGTTTTCGTAGAAAATGCATTCTCTTATAATTTAGACCTCATCATGGAATATTGACATTTTAGATTGTTTTTAAAGCAACAAATGTACAAAATGTACAGGTGCTAAAAACGATAATATTACTAGCCCATTTGTATACAAAAAGAAGATACTGGAATTATATTAATTGATCCTCTTTAACAAATATTTAAACAGTTTTTTTTTATTTTTTAACGAATTAAACGAACTATATCGACAATATTAGTATATGTCACACAATGTTTTAAACATTTGTTACATCTTTAAAAAATAATCTAAAATGTCAATATTCCATGGGTATATTGATAAATGAGGTCTAAATTATAAGAAAATGCATTTTCCACGAAAACTTGAAGAGATAGGTAAAAAATGGTACATATACTACCATATGTAATACAATTACTATTTAATAGGCAATTAAATTGTGCATCTGATTCTCATAAAATATACAGGCTGTTCCATTTAAATTAAACAAGTTATTGCCGTTTAAAGCTAGTAATTATTTAAAACAAATTTTTAGACAATCTGTATAAGGTAGTATAATTTTTATTATTGCAACACAAAATTTAATAAATAGAAATACTTCAGTGTAATGTTTGGTTTTAAAAACGTAAATACGCCTAGAGAAATGAATATTAAAATTATTACTGTATTTTTGACAAAAACCTACATATTTCAAAAACGGTAAGATTCAAATGCGGTAACCTTAATCAAATTTACCTTTATTTTAATCGTAGAAACTAAAAATGTAATAATATACCGTATGATCGAAAAAAAACGGAGTCCAGTTGGCTGGGAAATGAACATCAATGACATTTCCCATATAAATTTACATATAAAATGACAGCGATCTTCATTCCATAGCCATCGCTGACGCCGTTTTTTCTCGATCATACGGTACAAGGTGTTCCATTTAAAAAAATACAACTATGATATTTTTTATATATTTGGGACACTCTGTATATTGTAATAGTATTTTTAAATTGTAGCTCTAATAGTCCTACAACGAACCCAACACTTACAGTTTGCAAAAATCTAATAGTTTAGCTTCAATACTCCGTGTCGTATGTGGTGAACAACCCTGTATTTATTAAACGAAGTAATAAAATTTTTCAGTAAAGTTTATTTCTCTGGCTTAAAAGTCAGGCACAAGAATTAATTCTGAAAAGTAATATACAGGGTGTTGACAATCTTTTTTTTATTATAGCATGCGTATTTAAATATCTTTAAATATATCAAAAATCAAAGCTTGTAAACATATGTATTTAACCCTAATAATAAATACCTTATTTTGTGTACAAGGATCCAAAAATGAAATAAAATACCGGGTGTTTTATAAGAAAAAAATATAACTTTGGTGTGGATCTTAGTTCTAACCTACCCTGTACATTTCAAAATAATTTTTACATATTTAAAAACTATATTTATAAAACATATTCTGTTGAATCTTTGGCACAAAAACATTTCAAATTTAGTATTTCAGACTAATCTAGCTATCCAGTCAACATGTATAATTTTTTATAATTTTTGACATGTATTGACTATTTCGATTCCAAATATCTTGAGAACGTCCGTAGTTTTTTACCAAGATACATTTTTTAGTTAAAAAATGACGGTAATGTATATTTTTTAGGCTGTATTTAAACTGCCGTTAAACGGTAGCTTACTAAAATGCCGTTAATAGGTATGACGTCGTTCATGTGACGCACTTGACGGCTTTATGAAATATAGGAATTTTATAAGGACTAACCAACGCTATCCACCCCACCAAATAACCTAATTAACCAACGCAACTAACCTCGAAACTGATAAAAAAATATAAAAAACAAATATAAATTAGTAAAAACCAACCAACCCCACCAAATAACCAACTAAACAATGAATTAACACCCTCCAAATAACCACGCTAACCAACCCGCCAAATAACTAAACCAATCCAACCAAAAAGAGTAAAACGCAATAAGATCACGCTATAAGCAAAAAAATATTTAAAAAAGTCTTGGTCGGCGTGAGATTTGAACCACGGACCATTCGCTCACGAAGCGATAGTCTCAGCCACGGAGCCACAGGTGCTCTTGCAAAATGCTGATAGCCCGGCATTACTTTCCGCCGACATGAACGACGTCACAATATCTATTAACGGCATTTTAGTAGGCTACCGTTTACCGGCTGTTTAAGTACATCGTATTTTTTACTCAGTTGTGTAATACAGGTACGGACGAAAAGTTATTACTCTTCAAAACCGTTAAAAATATGTAGGTGGCGCCACCTACAAGTAGGAGTCATATTATTATATTATAAATATTGGCGTTAGCTCAGAAATTGTTTGGAGAAAATTGAAATAAAAATGAAAGTTCTACCAACTACACCCTGTATCTTTGAAACGAAGCATTTTAGGATATAAATTTATACAAACTTTCTTACTTATTTTTTATCTGTAGAATATATTGCCGAAGTTACCCGAATATGATTTGGACCACCCTGTATAATAAATTAACTTTTAAAATCATTTTTACAGAAATGTAGACTTTGGTGAATTCTTGTCAGATAAGGTCAAAGCTCAACACAAAAACACTATATACGATTTGGTAGCGAACATAGTGCATGATGGAGAACCAGGCAAAGGAACTTACAGAGTGCATATCTTACAGAAGTCTACTGGGCAGTGGTATGAAATGCAAGACCTTCACGTCACCGATATTTTGCCTCAAATGATTACTTTGACAGAGGCCTATATTCAGATATACGAGTTGCGTTCTTAATGTAATTTATTATTCAGATTTTTATAATTTAATTTTATAATATACCAGTATTAAAAGTAAACTGTATTTATTTTTTTTCTCCTCGAAAGTGTTGAGAATCATGACATTTTTGAAACCCATATTTTTTTAGTAAATAGAATTTGACAAGATATTTCTTTGGAGTAATTTTGTTTATGTATATTAACATAAAAACCAAAAATAGTTAATAGTTAATAATAACTCAATACATATGAATTCTTTCAAGTACGGTATGATCCAATAAAAAGGGCGTCTAGTTAGCTTGGAAATGTCAATTGATGATGTTCTCCATATTAATTTTATATCTATATGTCAAAGCCATCTCTGACGTTTAGTTTCAATAGTATAAAATGCTCATATTTTGAGTCAATCAGTGACGGACGCAGGGGGGATGTCAAAAAAATAGTGGACATATTTTTCAAGAATAATGTAATTTTTCATAAAAAAGTCTGAAAGAGCTTCAGAAAGTATTTATTTGGGACAAACTTAATAAAAGCACATCTTACTCATAGACAGCTAGTCAACTCACGACATAGAACATTTCGTACCTACAGTTGTACAAATATAGGAAGAGACTTGGGGATAGCATCGGTCGCGTGTTATTTTAGCTTTGTTCGGGTTCTTGTTATTACCGATTCTGAACCGTCCTAGAACTCTGCAGCGCATGCGCAAATGAAATAATGTCTTCATATTTCCTTCTGCGCATACGCATCACAGTTCTAGGACGGTTCAGAATCGGTAATAAGAGAAACCCGAAGTAAGCTTTTATATTTCTCACGTCTCTATCTATACTTGTTAAGTTGTACTTCGATACTCGCTTATCTAAGTGCGATATCGATAGAAAGACATCAGAGGCCGTATTTTAAATTTTGCATATTTGGAATAAAGTCACAGCGTATTTAGTAATTAGCTAGAAAATATTGGTAATTATGAAAAAAGTAGAACTAAGATTTATTATTGAAGGTATTGAATATTTTCTTTGAACAAAAGAAAACTAAAAAGATACCAAATTATTTTAAAAAAGCAATGTTTTAGTAATCTATTTTTTTAATTTTATTGAAATATCCGTCTGTCCAACGAGACACGGAAGATTTTGATAGAGATTTAAAAAAAAACTATAAATACTCTTAGTATACTAAGGGCTGGCAAAGGTTAGTCTTGGGTCGAGATTTCCGTATGTAAGAAGAGTACAATGCGTTTATAATGTACTGAACAAAGAGAGGACAGTAAACACGTTGCCAAACGTATGAAATAAACCGAGAAACTGTGCACATCGCTAAGAGACGTGGAAGGGGATATAGCAGATTTGTCGCAGTTGACCGGTCGACCCAATCAACACCTCTGTCAGTACTTAAAGTTCTAGGGAGAGGTGTACGTCATGCGTTCAGCTTCACGATTTAATTACGTCTCGTGATACTTAATTTGTTTATTTATTAACGAGTCGTTGTAATTTTCCCTACAGCTTGATTTTTTTTAATGCAATTGCAATGCAAGCTAGAAACACTTGCATTTTTAGTAAAAATAAGTGGAATTGAGTGGGTGTTCGATAGTGGTCGCACTATTAGAACTCTGAATTCAAAAATCGATATCTCGAAATCTATTAGAAATAATAGATTGTAGTTTTTTCAAGAACTTTGTTAATATTTCTGCTGTATTTTCTTTGTAGACAGTATGTGAAAATCTTTATCAATAAAAAAATTACACGATTGCTGAAAATTGCTATGCTCTAAAAGTAAATGGATGGATTGTTTACAATTTTTGAATGGAAAAAACAACCTTATCGAATTTTTCTTCTGTAAACATATTGTAAAATATCCGATCTTGAAAATAAAAAAAAGTTTAAATATCTAAAGTGGTTCTTGAGTTATGGCCTGTTATGTGTTAAAAAGTTGAGTTTTTAAATTATCGCGATTACTGACATTTTCTCGTTATAAAAAAAATGACACCCTAACGATATCGTTATAATTCCATTTCAGATGCTCAGAAACATGTTTAATGATTTTATCTAGTTATCTCTTGAAAAAAGTCTTTTAAAAATAAGCGGTTTGCGATCGTGACTTTACTTTACTTGATAGGGAAAGGCGTATCGGCAACGCCGCAACAGCACACCGTCGCGCGTCGCGTCGGTTGGTCGCATTTCTCTTAATAAGATCCCTATGCGATTTACTTCCACACATGTAAATGCCGACCCAAAAGTAACAGTTGCCAGCACGGTATTATGTGTAGTATTTATATGCTACTTCAAAACAATTGTCGCATATTTGAATAAAAGAAATAATTACATATTTCTAAAAGAAACATGTATTTTTCTGTTTTTCTCTTGTGAGTTTTTTTTAGGATAATTAGGGTAGGCACTGACATATGTAATTTTTAGTCGGCCGACTATTTAGTTGCAAAAGTAAAAATAATACATTTTTATGGAGCCGATCGGCCCAATATTTGATTGCATTGCGTAAGCTTAGGCTATACGCTGACAGGCAATTTTTAATCGGCCGACTATTTAGTTGCATATTTGTAATCAATACATTCCTATTGTACCGCGCTCACATGCAATCAAATAGTCGGCCGATCGGCTCCATAAATATGTTTTGTTTTCACTTTTGCAACTAAATAATATAACATTATTATAATTTTATGTTAAACCTAGCAACGTACCTGGGCACATCCGGGCTGGAAATCTCAAGAAACTAAAACCACAGGTAAAACTACAATTGTTCGAATTGTTTCTGAATTTTACTACAACACAGCAATTTAAAATTCGTCTTCTTTGCATTATAAGAAGATGCCCCCAATGAAAAGAACACACACTGTATTATTCTAATATTAGTGAACACGGTACGGTGCCAATTTCTAATCACGAACTAATATGAAAAACTCGAGGAAAAACTATACCTACATTTATTTTCGATTAAACACTGATTATATAATACATATTTATTTATGGTTTTTAACTGCTAACAACGCTACAATAATACAAACAAAATTAATGTATATAATATATCTTCTTTAATTTTTGGAGTATAAAGCAAAATCTTTTTTTCAAATAGTATACAGGGTGTTCCGAACTGTATTCCGGAAACTTCGGCAGCATATTCTACAGATAAAAATAAGTAAAAAGGTTCGTATAAATAATGTATGTTCAAAATTGCTTAGTTTCGGAGATACGGGGTGTAGAAGTTTAATTTTTATTTCGATTTTTTCCAAATAATTTCTGCAGTAACGTCAATATTTGGATGAAAATTGGTGTCTGGGAGTTTTTTGACATGAGAAATTTGGATTTTGATGTTAATATGACTTCTACTAGTAGAGGGCGCCTCTAACATATTTTTTAACTGGTTTTAAGGGTAGGTAATAACTTTTCGTCCGTACCTGTATAAAACCACCGAGTAAAAAGTATACATATACAACGTTTTTTACGTAAAAAATGTCTCTTGGTAAAAATTGCTACGAGCTACGAGTATTGGTTTTCGAGATATTTAGAATTGAAATTAGCAGTACCTGTCATTGACAATAAAATATAAATAGTTATTAGACAGATCATAAATTTGAAAGTTTTTGTGCCAAAAGTTCAACAGAAACTGTTTTATCATCATTTTTTGCAGAAAAATTTATGATTAATTTAAAAAAATAGAAATTTCTCAAATTTATTATTTCAGTGAAACTGTCTACTCAACGGTGTTTATTTTTCGTCAATAATGACATGTATTGATTATTTTCATTCTAAATATCTTGAGAACGGTTGTTCGTAGCGATTTTTACCAACAGACATTTTTTACGTAAAAAACGTCGTACAAACGTTTCCCTCGGTAGTTTTATACAGGCACGGACAAAAAGTTATTACGCTTCAAAACAGTTAAAACACATATAGGTGGCGCCCCCTACCAGTAGGAGTCATATTGACATCAAAATCAAATTTCTCATGTCAAAAAACTCCTAGACACCAATTTTCATCCAAATATTGACGTTAGTTTAGAAATTAATTGGAAAAAATCAAAATAAAAATGAAATTTCTACACTCTGTAGAATCTGAGGAAACTAAAACTTACAAACCAAATCAAACTAAGCATTTTAGGACATACATTTTTACGAACTTTTTTAGTTATTTTTATTTGCAGAATATGCTGCTGAAGTTTCCGGAATACAATTCGGACCAACCTGTCTAATCAACAAAATTGCGTTAATTAATTTCATAAACCTTAATTAAAATTTATTAACAATCGTACGTATGTCGTTTATGTCATTCCCGGTACAAAACGGAGTAAATAGAGAGGCGTGTTAGATTTAAGTCATTTTAATTGTTATTTTAGTTATATTAAGTATTAAGTAAGCAGGTCAAAGAGTTGACTAGCTGTCTATGAGTAAAAATGTGATAAAAGTATAGTAATTTTTATTATTAAAAAAAACTAAAAAGTAAAATCTTAAAAAAATATAAATGGAAACACAACATCATTCTGGTTAAAGTTTAAAATACTCTAAGCGAGATCTCACGCAGGAGCAACAGGCAATACGCAACCAACAACACGTGATATTATCGCCCATTACTTGATCAAATATACAATTACCCAAACATACCAGATCAGATATTATCTCTCACACTGAAGTGCAATATTGTCTTGGGATCGGCAGTATTGCGTTGCTTCAGTGTACAAGACAACATCATTTAATCTTCAGTATGTTGTTAGTAGGTGATAATATCGCTTATTGTCTGTTGATCCAGCAAAGAGTAATAATTCTTAACCTTTGGCTTCAGTGTGCCATCCCACGTAATCATTGATGAAATGGCCGTAATGTAACACCAGTAAGCACAATAAGCCTTACAGCTCTAGTGTAAAATGGAGACAAGAGTTATGTGGGTTTGGGAAAAAGTAATATAATATTAAAAGAAAAGCTTTTCTAAGTTATAAAAAATATAATAATATATAAACTATTTCACAACATACACAATAGATATGTAAGGTCGCGGTGATTAAGTCCCCTCCTAAACATTCTACAGTCTACTATTACATACCATATAACTAACTAAAATAAGTCTGTCAAACGACTCAGGGATGCTTTCGACAGACGACTTTAAAAAAAGGACAATTTACTTGCGAATTAAAATGAAAATGACAGACACAACTGTCACTGTCAGGGATCCCCTCGTTGGACAGACTATATACATTAATGAACATAATTTTATAAGTCACAAAGAGAATTATTAATTGATACCATGTGAATCTTTTAGACAAAGCAAATATTTACACACGTCTATGCAATCTGTTCCATCAATGTTGTCACTGTGATAATCTGGATTTTTTGTGGCAAAATTTATTTGAAATTTATTAAACTTGGCTATCATTCCTTTTAAGTAATCGCATGGAAATTTGTTCTTTGCAATTCCTACTGTTTTCAGTTTATTAAAATTCGATACTAATATGTCATAATCGATTTTTTTTATATGATTTCATTCCAAGTCTAAGGTAACCAGAGATCTTAACGGCAGCAACGATTCCGTAAGAATAGCAGAAACATTGTTATTTTCCGTGTACAAATTCTCTAAAAGAGGCAAATTTGAAAAGGCGCCAACTTGAAACTCTACCAAAAGATTCCCGTTCAAATTTAAGGTTTTCAGTTACGGGAAATTCTGAAACACTCCCAATGCGATATTTTGAATTTCATTGTCTTCGATTCGTAAAATTTCCAAACTATTCAAACCCTCAAAAGCTTTAATCTTTAATGGAAATACTGTTTATTGAGTTGCTGTTGAGTCGTAACTCTTTCAAATTTATTAAACCTTCGAAATTTTTATCATCAAGTTTTATCAAGTTATTGTCGCTTAAATCCAACAACTCTAAACTTTGCATATCAACGAAAGTATCGTTATTTATGTGTTTTAGATTATTAAGATTTAAATGAAGCTCCTTTGACGTCTTCAATCCGTAAAAAGCTCTAGGCATGACTTCGACTAAACCGATATCTGATAAGTCCAAATTGGTTAAAGAGAACAAATCTTTAAAGATAAAACCAGGTATAACTTTAATTTTCCTAAAAATATCTTTGGCCTGGAAATTGTTCAGATTGAATAGTCCAATAAGGGCGTTGATTTCAATGTTTTCGATGGTCGAGTTTTTTATTTCGAGTGTTAATAGATTAAATAAGCCTAAGAAAGAAGCGTTTCTTATAATAGGTATATGTGAATCGGTTATTAATATTTTTTTTAGATATGACGTACTTTGAAAACTACTTTCATTTAGACTCCCAGTGCGATATTTTGAATTTCATCGTCTTCGATTCGTAAAATTTCCAAACTATTCAAACCCTCAAAAGCTTTAATGGAAATACTGTTTATTGAGTTGCTGTTGAGTCGTAACTCTTTCAAATTTATTAAACCTTCGAAATTTTTATCATCAAGTTTTATCAAGTTATTGTCGTTTAAATCCAACAACTCTAAACTTTGCATATCAACGAAAGTATCGTTATTTATGTGTTTTAGATTATTAAGATTTAAATGAAGCTCCTTTGACGTCTTCAATCCGTAAAGAGCTCTAGGCATGACTTCGACTAAACCGATATCTGATAAGTCCAAATTGGTTAAAGAGAACAAATCTTTAAAGATAAAACCAGGTATAACTTTAATTTTCCTAAAAATGTCTTTGGCCTGGAAATTGTTCAGATTGAATAGTCCAATAAGGGCGTTAGTTTCAATGTTTTCGATGGTCGAGTTTTTTATTTAGAGTGTAAATAGATCAAATAAGCCTAAGAAAGAAGCGTTTCTTATAATGGATATATGTGAATCGGGTATTAATATTTTTTTTTAGATATGACATACTTTGAAAACTACTTTCATTTAGATTACTAACAATGGACATTTTTAAATATGTGGCTTTGTAATTTGGATACTTTAAAAGTCCGTCATATGTTATAGTAGTTAGTAGTTATAGGATTTTTACTAATATCGATGGTTTTACTTCTTTCTTCGTAATTATTCATATTTACAGACTCAGCAATTATATTCCAACTAATGTTACTTATTTTGCTCTCAATTAAAAAGAGTTCTTCGAGTCTTGGAACATTACAAAGGGTACGATCTACAATTACCACGGACTCAATCTTGTTTTTGTTAATCTCAATTTTAAGCAGATTTTCCAAATTGTATACGAATTCCGATTGGATTAATTTAATTCTATTATTGCTAGTGACTGCATCTATATTACTATAGACTGCATCTATATTTTCCAGATAACGTAGATTATGGAAGGTTCTATTTTTTAAAATGGATATTATATTACCCACCTTTTAAATTAATTTTCGTAACGTTCACTAAGGGATCAAATGTGCCTGGTATAATCGATTCTAACATATTGTTTTCCAGATTCAGTTCTGATAAACATGTTAAACCCACAAAACTATGCACTTCTATGAATATTAATGAACAATTTTTTAAATTCAGAGTTTTAAGAGGTACTGTTTGTTCCATTTCATTTACAAAACTATGATTTGATAGTTTTATTAAAAGTTTATTAAAGGACAAGTTATAAAAAATATAATAATATATAAACTATTACATACCATATAACTAACTATAACTAACTATAATAAGTCTGTCAAACGACTCGGAGATGATTTTGACAGACGACTTCCAAAAAAAGGACAATTTCCTTGCGAATTAAAATGAAAATGACAGACACAACTGTCACTGTCAGGGATCCCCTCGTTGGACAGACTATACATTAATAAACATAATTTTATAAGTCACAAAGAGAATTATTAATTGATACCATGTGAATCTTTTAGACAAAGCAAATATTTACACACGTCTATGCAATCTATTCCATCGATGTTGTCACTGTGATAATCTGGATTTTTTGTGGCATAATTTATTTGAAATTTATTAAACTTGGCTATCATTCCTTTTAAGTAATCGCATGGAAATTTGTTCTTTGCAATTCCTACTGTTTTCAGTTTATTAAAATTCGATACTAATATGTCATAATCGATTTTTTTTATATGATTCCATTCCAAGTCTAAGGTAACCAGAGATCTTAACGGCAACAACGATTCCGTAAGAATAGCAGAAACATTGTTATTTTCCATGTATAAATTCTCTAACAGAGGCAAATTTGAAAAGGCGCCAACTTGAAACTCTACCAAAAGATTCCCGTTCAAATTTAAGGTTTTCAGTTGCGGGAAATTCTGAAACACTCCCAGTGCGATATTTTGAATTTCATTGTCTTCGATTCGTAAAATTTCCAAACTATTCAAACCCTCAAAAGCTTTAATGGAAATAGTGTTTATTGAGTTGGTGTTGAGTCGTAACTCTTTCAAATTTATTAAACCTTCGAAATTTTTATCATCAAGTTTTATCAAGTTATTGTCGCTTAAATCCAACAACTCTAAACTTTGCATATCAACGAAAGTATCGTTATTTATGTGTTTTAGATTATTAAGATTTAAATGAAGCTTCATTAACGTCTTCAATCCGTAAAAAGCTCTAGACATGACTTCGACTAAACCGATATCTGATAAGTCCAAATCTGTTAAAGAGAACATATCTTTAAAGATAAAACCAGGTATAACTTTAATTTTCCTAAAAATGTCTTTGGCCTGGAAATTGTTCAGATTGAATAGTCCAATAAGGGCGTTGGTTTCAATGTTTTCGATGGTCGAGTTTTTTATTTCGAGTGTTAATAGATCAAATAAGCCTAAGAAAGATGCGTTTCTTATAGTAGGTATATGTGAATCGGTTATTAATACTTCATTTAGATATGACATACTTTGAAAACTACTTTCATTTAGATTACTAGCAATGGACATTTTTAAATATGTGGCTTTGTAATTTGGATACTTTAAAAGTCCGTCATATGTTATAGTAGTTATAGGATTTTTACTGATATCGATGGTTTTACTTCTTTCTTCGTAATTATTCTTATTTAGAGACTCAGCAATTAAATTCCAACTAATGTTACTTATCTTGCTCTCAATTAAAATGAGTTCTTCGAGTCTTGGAACATTACAAAGAGCACGATCTTCAATTACCATGGACTCAATCTTGTTTTTGGTAATCTCAATTTTAAGCAGATTTTCCAAATTGTATACGAATTCCGATTGGATTAATTTGATCCTATTATTGCTAATATCTATATTTTCCAGATAACGTAGATTATGGAAGGTTCTATTTTTTAAAATAGATATTATATTACCTTTTAAATTAATTTTCTTAACTTTTTCTAAGGAATCAAATGTGCCTGGTATAATCGATTCTAACATATTGTTCTCTAGATTAAGTTCTGATAAATATTTTAACCCCACAAAACTATGCACTTCTATAAGCATTAAAGAACAATTTTTTAAATTCAGAATTTTAAGAGGTACTGTTTGTTGCATTTCATTTACAAAACTATAATTCGATAGTTTTATTAAAAGTTTATTAAAAGACAAGTTTAGGAGATCCATATCTTTAAATCTAGAAAATATGTTTGGTTTTACTTCAGTTATGTTATTGTATGAAAGATTTAAATCATGGTATTTACCAGTCTTATCCAAATCTTCCACATTTTTAATGCGGTTGTGAGAAAGATCCAGTTTTTTAATTGTGATGCGTGTGTGTGAAGATTTAAATGTACTTAAACTGTTATAACTCAAATTCAGGGATTCTAGAGAACGTTCAAACTTAAATGAAAAATATGATATTGAGTTGTTAGATAAATCGATAGTTTCTGTATATGGAAGTTCAAAGTCATGATCTAATTTTAAGGAGGAATTGGTTAAGCTTAGTTTTCGTGTAGGAAAACATTTAAGGATATTGCCGAATAGAGTCGAATTTATGATATTTCCGGATAGATTGAGCTCAGTTAACTGACCATTCGGTCCATCATTACAACTGACATTTTTGATGGAATTATATTGTAAATTTAATGTGCTCCTAGAACCAAGATATGATGTTTTATTAACTTCTTCAATCTTGTTGTAACCTAAATCGAGATATATAATTCTATTAAAAGACCCTATATCGATCGTAAAAAACTGATTATGGGATATGTTCAATACCCTCAAATGAGATAATCCGCTATAATCAATTGCTAAAGTTTCCAGTTGGTTGAAACTTAAATCGAGCTCTTCTAACACAATAAATTCATTTAGGGCATTGTAACTAACAGTACGTACTCCACAATACCTTATTCTTAACCTTACTACCCTAGTATTGCTAATATCTTTAAAATAATTTGGTAAATAGTTGATATTCGAAAAATTCGAATAAACGACTTCAATAGATAACCTCGTACCAAATGAGTAATAAAAAATAAAATGTGTCAATTGTTGTATATCATAAGTGTAATATTGTAACGAAGTATTTTTGCATTTTATGCTCTGTGACTTATCATTCCAACCTGGTTCCGTAATACAATTCATTCTTATTAGCGGACATAGCCATAATAGAGACAGGAAACTATATAGAGTCTTCATTATTCTGAAATAAATTAAAAAATATATTTTAAATTTCGACTTAAAAGTTAACGTTGTAGTGGTTATAAATAGTACAGGGTGAATTAACGATAGAGCAAAGTTCATTATTTCATTTGTTTTGAGAATTATGGAAACATTTTAAATAGAAAAGTTATAGAAAATGTTAATACACCGGGTGCGTCTCAAAAGTGGCTCACCCCCATAACTTTTTTATTTTTTCAGAGAAAAAAACGAGATTTGGTATATTAGTACATGACATAAATTAGGATTGATTGACGTATTCATTTGCTTTTGGTCTTTTCTTGTTTCACCGGAAATGACAAGAACTTTTGATTTTTAAATGGCACACTCCGTATATTTTTACTTTATTCGATAGAAAATGATACTGTGGATAGAATTACATATCATATGTCAATTATTGACATTTTTGCTTAGAGTGTCGTAGCTGTGTTAAAAACACTAATTTTTTATCAAGGAGCCTAGGAAAGCCTAATATTTTTCGTGTCTTGTCCTGACCGGTTAAAAGATGCCCAAATCGTATTTTTAATCATATCTCAATTTTTTCAAATGGAACAAGGGTGACTCATTAGCATATTTGGAATAGGCATTTTTTTACGAATAATTTGGTACTACACACTTGGTATTTCGAGTCAAATTGTCGTTATGAACCGCATGTTACAATTTCAAATAAACCATATGTGAATATGTCATATTAGAGAGTGTCATTTTATATCGAATAATGTAAAAAATACCAAGGGTATCGTTTAAAAATCAAAAATTGTAGCCATTTCCGGTGAAACAGGAAATGATAGAAAACGATTGAATACGTCATTCAATCCTAATTTATGTCATACACTAACATACCAACTCTCGTTTTTTATCTGAAAATATAAAAGAAGTTATAGGGGTGAGCTACTTTGAGACGCACCTGGTATATTATATTTATATAAAATTATTTTTGTTATACAGGTTTGACACATCTTTGGGGCTCAAAGATGTGTAACGCACATAACATGTTTTTTAATGTATATAACACCCTATATTTCAATTTATTTAACAAAGTGTTATATTTCAGCATGGAAAATAAATTATTGTCAGTTTTGGTTTGGTTTGGAATATTGAAATTCGATAGGAAAATTTGATAGAGATGAAGATAAGTATATATGTAAAGATATTATAAAATGAAATTACAAAAAATATATATAGTTAAAGATATGCTACAGGGTGTTCACAATATATTCATGAATTTCGACTTCTTAAAATTAAAAAAAAATCTCAAAATTTCTAAATGGCAAATCCTATGTAATAAATTATTCCACTCCTTATAAAACTTCAACATTGATCATAAAAAATTAAGTAAAATAAAACCTTTTCAAAAAGACAGTAAGAATAAAATTATGAAAAATACATCAATGCCTTTAAGGCCTTCTCAAAAAGACAGCTAAAATAAATTTATAAAAAATGTCGAAAATTTTAAAATATTTTGAAAACAGATAAAAGGTATACAAGGTCCGGCAAAAGTGCGTCGGGCATCTGTAGCTCTTATAATAAACAACTTATAAATTTTGTATAAGTGCAAACTTAAAGTATGTACTAGGATGTATTTCAGGAAAATATTTTAACTTCTATAGGGTGGCTCAAAAAGTGTGAGTGAACCGGGATAATTTTTTAAATGGAATACCCTGTATATGATTGCGTTTTTTGACTTCCTTCAGATCATTTTGTGTGATGCTATATATGATATGATTATATATATTTCGATAATATCGGATATATTAATAAATAAATAAAAAATATATTTTTTTCGGTCTTTCTTAAAGATATTATTAAAAATACAAGAACGGTTCTGAAATCAAAAATATATTAGGTATTTACTATTTACTTTAGATGGTCTGTACTTACTTTGCTATAAATATGGTAATGGTAAATCATATAGGCTGTTTAAAGTTCTACCACAGATAACATATACATATACCGGGTGCGTCACTAAAGTGGCTCACCCCTATAACTATTTTATTTTTTGAGATAAAAAAACGAGATTTGGTATATTAATATATATGACATAAATTAGGATTGATTGACGTATTTAATTGTTTTTGGTCACTTCCTGTTTCACCGGAAATTACTACAACTTTTGATTTTTAAATGGCACCCTCTGTATATTTTTACTTTATTCGATAGAAAATAACACTCTGAATAGAATGACATATCATATATCCACTTTTGACTTTTTCGCTTAAAAACAAATCGTATTTTAAATTTCAATCTACATAGAGTGCCATGGCTGTGTTAAAAACACTAACTTTTAATCAAGGAGCCTTGGAAAAATAGATTTGACGTATAATGTTTTTCGTGTCTTGTCCTGGCCGGTTAAAAGATGCCCAAATCGTATTTTTAATCATATCTCAATTTTTTCAAATGGAACAAGGGTGGCTCATTAGCATATTTGGAAGAAGCATGTTTTTACGAATAATTTGGTACTACACACTTGCTATTTCGAGTCAAATTGTCGTTATGAACCGCATGTTACAATGTCAAATAAACCACATGCGAAAATGTCAAAAGTTGACATATAATTTGTCATTCTATTCAGAGTGTCATATTCTATCGAGTAAAGTAAAAAAATACCGATATAAAAAATCAAAAGTTGTAGTCATTTCCGGTGAAACAGGAAGTGACCAAAAACAACTGAATCCGTCAATCAGTCCTAATTTATGTCATATACTATCATACCAAATCTCCCAAGCAATAATTTCCCAAGTTTATGCGTATAGGTTAAAAATCACCCTGTATATATTTTTTATTTATTTACTAATAGCTCTGAAACTACCGAAATATATTTACTCATATCTTAGGATCATGTAAAATGATCTGAAAGGAAGCCAAAAATGCAATAGTATACAGGGTGTTCCATTCAAAAAATATCTTCCTGAAATACATGCCCGTACATACCTACTTTAGGTTTGCACTTAAACAAAATTTTCAACTTCTTTATTTTAGGATTTACAGATGCCCGACGCACTATTGCCAGACCCTGTATATATTATTTTAGCAAAAATATGTTAAGAAGTTTATATATAATCCAAAAATCATAAAATATAATATAGGTTGTTTAACTTAAAATCAGCAAATTAGGGTTTACCTTCATTAACTGGAAGAAAGTAAAAACTATTGCAAAAAGGACGTATAGGTACTCCTACACATCTTTAATAATATTACATTGAAACATGTCTCTCGTTAAAGTGTTTTATGAACAATCTTACATAGGAATTTAAGGAATTATTAAGAATTTGATGTTTTAAAATGCAAATTATACTTACCTAACATAATACGAATATTGTTGGGTAGGCAACTAATACTTAGTTTTTACTGATTATTTCTTTATACATGCGTCTATTAAAGATACATTTAAAAAAATAATCACTGTTTAGTTAGTCTAAGGCTCCGCGCGCACTGCATCGGATCGGACCAACCAGCAAAAGCGACTGCGACCATCGTACATATAGACGGCGCCGGCGTCCACTAAAACATTTCGGCCTGTAGAGGCCAGATTCCTACCTCTACCTATCTACGATAGTCGAGTCATCGCCTTCGCCGTTTCTCGCCGGCCCGATCTGATGCAGTGCGCGCGGAGCTTAAAAGCTCAGCACAAGCATTCATTTTTGTATTATTGATAACCAGTTTTACAGTCTGCAAAATACTGATTATAACGGAAGTAATACACTTCTGTAGGCTGCGATAATAATTATATTGATAAGTAGTTAGCAGTTACCAGAATAGGTATTGTATATTGTATGAGTTTGTGTTCCTTGTAAACTGTAAACAATACCGGGTGCGTCTCAAAAGCGGATCACTCTCATAACTATTTTATTTTTTCAAATAAAAAAACGAGACTTGGTGAGGTAGTATATGACCTAAATTAGGATTGATTGGCCTATTCAATTGTTTTTTGTCACTTCCTGTTTCACCGGAAATGACTACAACTTTTGATTTTTAAATGGCACCCTCGGTATTTTTTGGCTTTATTGGATAGAAAATGACATTCTGAATAGAATTACATATCATATATGTCAATTTTTGACATTCTCGCTGAATTATAAAATCAAAAATCGTATTTTAAATTTGAATTTAGAGTGCCATGTCTATGTTAAAAACATTAATTTTGAATCACGGATTTGATAATTATTAAAAATTCATTTATTATTATTACATTTTTATAATAAACATATTATTTCTAATTGATTATATTAACTATTTATTCTTTTAAATTACCGAGCAGTAAGTTTATTATAGGGCTTTATTATACAGTATGTCCCCGGATTGTCTTTACAAAAGGAAAACTTTTTTATTCTTGACATTTTGAGAAAAATGCATTCTCCTCCATAATTTTTTTCTTGCTTTAAAATGGTTAATCCCGTTTATACTTTTCCAAATTTTCATACCGTTTTCCGTTTTAGAGAAAGTTAAAAAAACACGAAAATATTGTTAAGTCCTAAAAATCAAAAGGCGTTTCTATGGTAATATCGATCCACTTCATTCTTTGATAGATGGTTATGGATGGTTATTAATAAATTTTGATTAACGTCATATTCTTTGCTGTTGTTAAAGTATCAGATTTTTCAATAATTATTATCACATTTTCCGTAGTATTGAGCCAAATTTACCACAGAAACGCTTTTTGATTTTTAGAATGAAATTCAAAAAATTTAACCGAAAATTCAAAAAGACCAACCGAAAAAATTCAACAATATTTTTAAGTTTTTCTTAATTTTCTCTTAAACGGTATGGAAATTTGGAAAAGTATAAACAGGATTAACCATTTTAGAACAAGCAAAAATTTTTCTCAAAATATACATTTTTCTCAAAATGTCATTAATAAACAAGTTTTTCCTTTTGTAAAGACAATTCGGGGACATACTGTATACTCCCATACGAACACATATGTATAACATACTGCTATAAAACTAAAACAGTTAAATAGATAAAATAAAGTCTTTGTAATTT